GACAGAACGGTGGGGAAGCTTACTTTTATGTCGAGTGCAACTTCAATTTAGGTTAAACTTTGGATGGTTTTAGGACCTAAAACAACGGGCAAAATATGTGAAAAGCACAATACTTCGTGTCACTGCAAAACACGAATCATCTGGTAGTAGTAGCTAGCACATGCTTGTTTCAGTTATACTAGGAGTGTATGTGCAGCAAGTAAAATTTCAGAAGTGTTATTGTGTTTCTCTATAAAACTGTACCCCTCTTTTAAACATGGGCCCGCGTATTATCAATAAGAATAGTAATATTCATTACTATTAATAGTAATACTATTACTACTTCTAATAGTTGTTGCCAAAGAAACCCCGAAACCCCGAAATTAGACATCACACAGCTCGTGGCAAAGGTATAATACCAAGTACTACATCATTCCTCACACAACCGTTCAACGTCTTCAAAACTACTACGACTAACTAGTAACTTGGTTATATACTTCGAAGTACTCCTATTACTAGTACCTAACGTTATATGATTCATCACTCAACTCCCGTAGTCGAGTACTAACTACAATTGCACGTGGGCTTTGCTCGCGAGGTGGGCAAACGCGCTGTCTGGATTGGCTAGCAGCGTCGGGGGGGCGTCAAACTCGACGACGTGGCCGGCGTCCAGCACGAGGATGCGGTCCGAGTCTAGGATGGTTTCGAGGCGATGTGCGATGATGAGGCGTGTGACACCGTGGAAGCCGTCTTGGATCATGTGCTGGATCAGTCGGTCGGTTTCCAGGTCAATGTTGGCCGTGCCAACGAGTTGCTAACAAGCTGGCTGCAAAGCTCGTGTGAGCTGGTGCACTGCGAGCTTACCCCAGTAGGTCATTACTCTGCATGACTGCTTGGCCAGGGAGTTAATAAAACGAAGTAGTTTTAGTAAAACAACGCAAGTTTTAGATCAGCCAATGACAGAACGGTGGGGAAGCTTACTTTTATGTCGAGTGCAACTTCAATTTAGGTTAAACTTTGGATGGTTTTAGGACCTAAAACAACGGGCAAAATATGTGAAAAGCACAATACTTCGTGTCACTGCAAAACACGAATCATCTGGTAGTAGTAGTAGTAGCTAGCACATGCTTGTTTCAGTTATACTAGGAGTGTATGTGCAGCAAGTAAAATTTCAGAAGTGTTATTGTGTTTCTCTATAAAACTGTACCCCTCTTTTAAACATGGGCCCGCGTATTATCAATAAGAATAGTAATATTCATTACTATTAATAGTAATACTATTACTACTTCTAATAGTTGTTGCCAAAGAAACCCCGAAACCCCGAAATTAGACATCACACAGCTCGTGGCAAAGGTATAATACCAAGTACTACATCATTCCTCACACAACCGTTCAACGTCTTCAAAACTACTACGACTAACTAGTAACTTGGTTATATACTTCGAAGTACTCCTATTACTAGTACCTAACGTTATATGATTCATCACTCAACTCCCGTAGTCGAGTACTAACTACAATTGCACGTGGGCTTTGCTCGCAAGGTGGGCAAACGCGCTGTCTGGGTTGGCGAGCAGCGTCGGGGGGGCGTCAAACTCGACGACGTGGCCGGCGTCCAGCACGAGGATGCGGTCCGAGTCTAGGATGGTTTCGAGGCGATGTGCGATGATGAGGCGTGTGACACCGTGGAAGCCGTCTTGGATCATGTGCTGGATCAGTCGGTCGGTTTCCAGGTCAATGTTGGCCGTGGCTTCGTCCAGCACGACCACCTTGGACTTGCGCAGCAACGCGCGCGCGATGCACAGCAACTGGCGCTGGCCCACCGACACATTGCTGCCCTTCTCCGACACGGCAAACTCGAGCGACCCCACAAACGCGTCCAAGTGCACGCACTTGAGTGCCGTCCACAGCTCCTCGTCCGAGCACGTGTGAGACGGGTCCAAATTGAACCGAAGCGACCCGCTGAACAGCACCGGATCTTGCGGAATGATGGTCAGCCGCGACCGCAGCGTGCGCACCGAAATCGACGCAATGTCCACCTATGAGCATCCACGTCAAGAACCTACATTCCCTCTAAACAGAGGCGTACCCCGTCCAGAGTGATGGTCCCCGTCGCGGACGGAACCATGCGGAACAGCGCCGCCATGAGCGAACTCTTGCCCGAGCCAGTGCGCCCGACGATGCCGACCTTCTCGCCGCCTTTGACGGTAAAGTTGACGTTGTTCAGTACGAGGTCCAAGTGCTCACGGTATCGCATAGAGTAGTTGGTAAACGTAATCTCGCCTTGCTGGGGCCACGAAGACGGGGGAAGACCCTTGGTGTTGTCGTGCCCAGTGTCTTCGCTTTCCAACGAGTTGAAGTGACCGAGGCGCTCGACGGATGTCATCATGTTCTCCACAAGCGTAACGAATACAGCCATACGAGACAGCACCGTCGACAGCTGCGACGAGTAGGTCAGAGCGAGGCCGGCCGCGGTGACGCCGATAGAAGCGCGGGTGAATACGGCAATAAACGCCACGGCTACACAAAGTATCAGTTAGTAATCCTAGTAGTGGTTGTACTACTAGTAGTAATAGGAGTAGTAGTACCCGTGATCACGAACGAAGACACCCAGTCAAGGCGAAGCTGGAACCACCGGCCAGAACACGTATAAGCAAACGAAAAGCTGAGGTACCGATCGAGGGCGATGCGTTGCTTGTGGGAGAATTGGGCTGTCATTTTGAACGCGCGGATGGTGGAGAGGCCGCTGATGGCTTCGCCGACAAGGGTCACGACGGGGGACCGAGCGATGCCATCCATCCGCTTGAGTTCAGCAGACGACACGTTGTAGTACTGCTGGAGCCACTTGAATACCCACGCAATCGGGACGTACGCAATCAGAATCCACGGAGTCGACCCCGCGCATACAACGAGGATGGCAAAGATCATAAACGTAAACTGGAGCACCATGAGCCCAAAGAACGGCAGCATCGAGTCGATTTGATCCAGATCGGACGAGAATCGATTGAGGATGCGACCCATGGGAGTCACGTCAAAGAAGGTCGGGACAGGAGCCGACACGACGGCATTAAACACCTTGGCATGCAGAGACCGCGAGCACGCGATGGCCACGAGGAGGACGTAGATAGACCGCGCATAGTACAAGACAAGCGACGAGATTGCAATAAGGAGGTAATACCACCCCGTGGATATGGAGCTGTTCAACGCGACGTTGTTGGCCCAGTAGCTCATGTACCAGTCCGTCATTGCCGACGACGCTTGGGCCGTTGTGAAGATGACCAAGATCGACACAATCACCACGAGCCTACACACACATGTGATAAAACCACGATAAGTCTCGTAGTTCGAATTAGAGTCGGTGTAATAAATAAAAGAAGATATGTGGGGATCATCACATGACAAAAATGATATATATCACTTGGTCAAAAATGATATATATATATCACTTGGTCAAAATGATATATCTAACATTTGGTCAAACTGGTACATACATATAATATATATATATACATACAAACAAAATCACAACATACCCGTTGTACCCACTCGAGCCAAAGTACATTTTGTACGTGTTGAACGTGACCAATCCCTTGGCGCGGTCTTCCTTGTCCATGAGTCCACGGCCGCCGCCGCCGCCGCCGCCTTGCTTGGGGGACTCGGCCTTCTTCTTGTCCTTCTTATCGTCTCCATTTCCGTCATCTTGCTTGTCGTCAGACACTGGTTTCTTCTCCACAAAACTCAACAAGTGCGGAAAGTCCACCTTGAGCTGGCTAAACTTGCCATCGCCGACGATCGCGCCGTCCACCATGACCAGCACGCGGTCCGCATGTGGCAAAAAGTGGTAGTGGCTATTGAGCACTAAAACGGTCGTTTTGGTTTTCAGTAGCCCCTGCACACACTGGTCAAACACAGCGTTGGCCACGTGGACATCGAGCGCACTCAATGGGTCGTCCAATAAGAAGACGTTCGCGCGCTGATGGTACAAAGCACGCGCCAGACTCACGCGGGCCTTCTGGCCGCCGCTCAAGTTGATGCCGCGCTCGCCGATCTCGGTCGCGTCGCCTTGCGGGAGCATGCTCAGGTCAGCTTCCAACTGGCATGCTGCTAGCACTTGATGGTATAAAGTGTCGTCATAGGGCGAGTCAAACAGGATGTTTTGCTTCAACGTGGCATGCTGGATCCATGCTTCTTGGTTCACATAGGAAAAGTGCGCTTGGACGTTATGGCTGCCGCTGACTTGGTGGATTTCGCCGAGGATGGCGCTGATAAGGCTCGACTTGCCGCTGCCGACGCTGCCCACGACAATGGTCAGCGTATTGGGTTCAATATGCAAATTGATGTTGGACAGGGTGATGGCTGCCGGGGGGGTTTCCATGTCCACGATCGCCGCGGCACCTTCCGATGGCTGCTGTCCGTCCATTTCTTCGAACGCCGTCGCCACTGCCCCAACTTCCTTGCTCGTGGCATCCCAGCTAAAGTTGCCGCCCGAGATTTCAATCACCGGCACCGACTCGTCGTCTGATCCTATCAAGAACCGAATCAAAATACACAGTGTCGTTACAAAAGATATTGTATCGATCCAGTTATAGTATTGTCAAGTTGATATATATATCGAAATTGGAGTGTTTGGGTGCTCAATTGAATGACATCGGCAGACAATCGATATACGCCCAATCAAAACCCAGATCACGAATCAAGTGGCCAATCATATCAACTCTTTAGTTTTTGATTGAAATTAGTGTGATACTGGATATATATAAACGTCAAAGAATCGATCTGTGATAGATTTGGCGAATCAAAGTCAGCCAAATCTTTGGGTAAAAGAAAGGCAACAAGACATGCATTCATTCATCGACGTCGTATACCTGTAGTAGTCGCGTGAGAGTGCTCCAAGAGCGGAATTTCGTCGGCGACGAGGAACTTGGTGATGCGCTGGCACGACGCCCACGCCTCTGACAGCCCCATCACGGCCGTGCTGAACACGGTGCATGGCTGGCGCGCAATGTTCATGTACGCGAGCGCGGTAAAGGCCAAGGGCGTCGTGAGGGTGAACCCTCTGGCAACGTAGATCATCAGGCACGCCGCGAGCGAGATCACGGGCGCCACACTCATAAACACTGTGTTCAGGATGCGGTGGGTCTGGTAGCTCTTGAGCAACGCGAGTTCGCGGGACCGGATTTCCGCGAGTTGGGCGGCCAACGACTCTTCCCAGGCGTATAACTTGACCACGCGGATGCCCTGGAGCACTTCATTGGTTAGCTTGACGCGCTCAGACTGGACGCCCAGCACGTGGCGGCGGATTTGGCCCACGTGTTTGCCAGACACAAAGCCAAAGTACAGAAATAGCAGCATGAACAGCCCCCCCACGAGACCTGACACCCAGTCGAGTTCGTTGCCGATCAAGATGAACACGGCGAGGAGCATCAACGGACTAACATGCAATCATATGAGGAATGCCAGGTAGAGGGGTATATGGATATATGGGGACGTACCTGATCAAAGTCCAGTAGCCGAGCATGAACCCAAAGAACAAGCGGTCGGCATCCACGGACGCCATGGTCACGATTTCGCCCGTGGTCATTGTCTTCTTTGCGTGGCCACTCATGCGCAATATCTTGCGGAACACGTTGTCCATGAGGATGATCTTGGCGTTGCACCCGAGTCGATTGGTGAGAAACTGACCAAAGTCACCGACGGTCACGGACACGAACGTGAGCAGCGTGAGCAGGGCAGCAAGCGCGTAGCCGTTGGTGACCCCGAGCGACGTGGTGAAGTTGGGCTGGTCGTACCGCGTCAAGTACTGCAGCATGCTCTTGATCATGATGGGCTGCACCATGAGGATCGCGCCAGACAAGATGTACAGGAGGAACGACCCGATGATGCGCGGCTTGAACGTGCGGAAGAGGGCCAGCGCCAGGTTGGGCGAGTCGAGCTCGAGCTGCTCGGTCCAGTGGCTTTCAAACGACTTTGATTGATTCGCAGACGTATCAAAGTGCGGAAGCGGCCATATGTTCTCTTCCACGAGCGTACTCTTGGACCCTTTGGACATGAGCGGTCCCATCCAGTTGACTCCCACGAACGAGAACAAGTTGGCTGTTTCCAGCGGATGCGGCACGTTGTTCCACGTCACCTCGTCAGCCACCACGTCGTCGTCCTTGGACGGTGGCTGCTTGCCAGGAGACTTGAGGGCCACGAAGTCTGTCATGATCGAGGCTGATTTCAGAATGATCGACCAACGAGTTTTGACCTTCGGCCTATGCCGCCAACCACTTCAACGATTGCTGCACCACGTGGAAAGCACTCTTGATGATACCAACACGACCAACATTCTAGAGAGTGAAACATTTATATAGGTTTCAGTAAGGCCAAATTGAGGAGAGTCAAATCAAGATTGCCAGGCCGACGACTACTTCGATATTTACAAATCGAAACACGCATGTCAGAATTAAATACGAGTATGTTTCAACAATATGTTTTGAATTCGTTATTTGAACAAAGCTTAGTATTGCTTATATTTTTGTAGTATTGGACTTGATTTACTAGGACGTCATATTTGCATGCTGCTCGCCATACGACATGGAGCGACACTACATGTATGACTCAAACTCCTTCATATCGTGGATCTACGGGTGTGTTCCCAAATAACGGTGATTTTTGCAAACGTTGAGTGCTAGCACCAGTCAGATCAGCTTTCGTGGTACTACGTTGGTAGGAATAGGGCTTACTAAAACACATTCTTGTTTCCAACCACACGAGAAATGAGCATATGATGATGATCAATCAAACATACGAGGTGCTCAAAGCCCTCCCACCAATGAAATTACAGTTTTGTACCTCGTATACTCGGTCCAACCTCGGAATGGAAGTCAAGTGTACCTGTGATTCTGAATACTTGTTCTAATAACGTTACTTTACTATTACGTAGTAACTTAACTAGAAGTTTAAAAGTAACGTTATACTACCTGGACTATTAATAGTACCCAAGTAAGTCACAATCATTCCGAGTTGTTTACCAGCGATTTGAAGCCCGTCACATACATATCTTTCCAGGTTGGGTTGTTTACAAAGGTATCTTTATCCCTGACACTAATGGGGTAGTCGTCGCGGCGAAGTGCTTCGTCACCGAGTATAAGTCTGTAGAATTGACAGTTCACTTTGGTCTTTTGACAAACCTGTTCTCATTTCCATGGATCTTATGTCTCGTACATTAAAATCCGATCGTTTGATTGGCTGGAATTCCATATCAGAACTTCAGACTCTATATTTATTGTCAGCACGAAAAAAGTATTTTTTCGTTCCAATGCAATGACATGAACGACTCTGATTGGCCAAGCGATATATCTTTGAAAGGTCGCCTGAAACCCGTAACGCCGACTCGTCGTCAACGCCTCTCCAGTTTGAGCATTCATTAGGCAGCCTAGGCACCAATTGGAAAGAACAGAAATGAAGGGACTGAAGGGACTCTTGATTGGGCTGAGCGCGGCCCCAGCCTTTCTCGCCGTCGAAGGCGGTCCAGCTGGTGCAGGTGGTGAAATCATCACCCAGCCCAGTTGTTTCCGCTTGAAAAACTGCACCTTTGGTCCAAAATCCATCGTGTATGTCCCGAGCTATCCACTGTACGCGACGCCACAGCAATGTGCCCCCCCTGCTCCTGTGAGCACCACAGCCACGTCCGTGCTGAACCGAGGCGAGTTCACGCTGTCGACATCATCCAAGGTGCCGCTTCTGTTTGCGTCCATTCCGTACGCAGAATCTGCCAGTATGAAGCAGGGCACGACGACTCAATGGAACCTCCAAGCAACCCTCGACCAGTACACTGCCAACCACGCAGTGGCCCCGGGTCTATTGAACGTCGACGCCGCGTATTACGCGTGCGAGGATCCCCACCAAGTCCACAGCCCCGCGCCGCTTCAATGTACTTTGAAATCGTGCGTTGCGTTCCCGGACACGTGGCCGCCCAAGTCGTTGGCTGTGTGCCCGTCGTACTTGTCGGCCAACACGGTCACATACGGTGACATGACGTTTTACACGCATTTGAAGGACCCGTTCAAAGAACAAGACATGTGGGGAAAAGTGCTGGACGAGTTTGTGCAGTGGAGCGATCACGTGTCAAATTTTCCGTGTGTGGTTTCCGACGTAGCTCAGTCTCGCTGTGACTCATTTACCGTTTTGTCCAAGAGTTTGGGGCGGCGGACGGCATTGGACCTCGTCGGGGGCTCGGATTCCAACAAGCTCACCGTGTTGAGACATTTGGGCACCCCCACCGAGAGCGAGCTCGTCGAGCTCAAGGCCATCGCCCAGAAAATGGACTTGACCCTCGACGCACCGATTCCAGATGCTGCCGCCGTGTGCACCAAGTAACGTCCACGTCGTGTCGATCTACATATTTGGCAAAGTTGACAGATGGTTGTGCGTAGATGTGTGCATACTGAACGTGTGTTGAAAGAATGGGTTCACCCTGCAACGTGTGCGACCCCGGAGCTTACAGCACCGAAATGCCAAGGCACGGAAACGTGCAACTTGAACCATTGCGTGTCCTTTGTGCCTAAGGATTTGTTCTCGGCCACGTTGGCGGTGTCCCCTCGAGCGTTGGAGCTAACCACCCAGGCCAAATCCCGTCCCATGGCCTCGCAGTTCAAGGACGAAGTCGTGTACGACTCAGCCTCCGACACTATTCGGTTGGTGTACATAACGAAGGTGGGCAAGGAAGAGCTGGCGGTCGACGGTTTGGTTGACGTGACCAGTGACAGCCGTGGCGCGTTCGTCAAGAGCCAAGTCACGTGGGTCGTGCAGCCGCCCTACGAGCCTGCCGTGAGACAGCCGTGGATTGCTCTGAACGGCAGTCGCGTACTCCTTCGTGCTTTCCAGGGGCAGAACAAGCCCACGACTGTTGCGATTACAGTGCGCGCGTGGACCCCCTGTGGTAAAATTGCGTCGAAGAACTACCTGCTTCGTGTCTACCAAGAAGGAAGTCCGAAGCTCCGTGTTTTCAGTCGCGTGCGCAAGTACATTGAATCGCTGATGGTTCAAGAAAATGGAAGCGTGTCATTCCTCGTCCTGATCGGAGCGGTCGTGGTGGGCGCCGTGGGGGCGGTGATGTGGACGACGACCGTCCGTCGACCTCGCGGTGGCAACGATGACGGCTCGGCGGCGTACGTCCTCGTGGGGGACTCGACCATGCTCTAAATCCCAAGTCTTATGCATAGTAGTACTACTTTGGACTAACGACCCACGTAGTAGTAACGAGTTTGTATGTTGAATTTACTACTAGGAGTATGGAGTACCCATGCAAATACACGTCTGTGATTGGTTGGCGCGGATCATCGAAGGGTAGATTACCGTACAGGTAGCATTGGCGACCTTTCGGAACGACTGTTGATTGGTTACTTGCACGCATACTTGGCTAACGCAACGACACACCGATTGCGGTGCACCTAGGTTTTTCTACTAAGTTACTACGTAGTAATCACATAAGCGATGATAAACTGGGACCCAGGTTGGATTTGAACCCTCGCTCTGTCAGCCCATGGTGCATTTTCCATAGTAATCTCAAGAGCAGTATGTACTTTTAATAGCTATGGTCTATCAAGTTTAGGTTGTGAACACAGAGCTCCCTTGCAATAAGGACTTAATTGTATACCAATTCCGAACTTTTGTGTGTTAACATGTCGCAATTGAAATTTGAAATCCCTGGGTTTAACATCATCGTTGCAAGGGCGCATCCGGTGGTGATTACCAATTACTCGGAAGTAAAAGGACATCAATTTCTTCACATCTCGTGTCAGCATTATCTTAGTTTCCATTCACTCATTTTGAGATTGATCGCTCAACAACCATGGCGAGTCGTCCACCACGTGACAAGGACGTGTACGCGGCCATCGTCACGCCCAAAGCGGCGGCGGCCGACGACGCCGTTGAGCCAGTAGTACCTTGGAGTCTCGTGCGCAACCCTCTCGAGTCGGCCCACTGGTTGTCGGTGGTAGCCATCTCCTGGATCGGGCCGCTGATTTCAAAAGGCGCCAAGGCGCCGCTGACCGAAACGGATGTGTGGCCGCTGCCTCACTCGGACACGGCGGAGGTCCTGTACGCCGAGTTCCGCCAGCACTGGGACGTGGAGCAAACGAAGCCGGCGCCGGCGCTCTGGTACGCCATTTACCGGACGTTCCGAGGTCGGATCTGGTACTCGTTCTCTTTGTACGTCGTGTCCGGGGCACTCATGCTCGTGCAGCCCATCCTGATCAAGTCCATGCTGCAGTTCCTCCAACAGCCGGACGACCGCCCCATCGCGACCAGCGTCGGCATCTCCAACGGCTACGTCCTCGCCGCCGCCTTGTCCATTCTCACGATTGTGTCGGTCACGGTTGGCGACTATGGTCAGTACTTGGCCAACCACTTGGGCGTGAACGCCAAGCTCGTGCTCATCGACACCGTCTTCAAAAAAGTGTTGTGCATGTCGGGATATGCGACAAAGGATTTGTCCACGGGAGACATTGTCACGATGGCATCCGTGGACGCGGAGCGGATGTTCTTTGGGTTTCTCATGGGCTACTGGACCTTTATCAGGTATATATATATATACGCACATACCAATCAACTTCGTTGAATGACCACCCGTTCTTTGTCGAATATGAGAGTCTTACAAGTATATTATTGGGAAGCAGCTCGGCATTGGTGTTGCAGGTTTCACACTCTATCGTTATTGTGCCTTTCGAGTGAAATTTCATTGTGTTGTGGCAAAGTGGTTTCTCGTTGGAATTTAAATCGATTTGATTGGCTTCCTCAGATGAGCTCAAAATTATTAGCCAATCAAAACAACACCTTCTCAATGAAATTCAACCAATCAGATCGATTGTGGATCGGTTTGGTTGGCGCGATTATTCGATTGCACCCTCTACCCAAATTTGTATCAAATCCAATTTATATATATATATATATTGCGATGGACACTATTTAGATATGCGTCGTTGGCACACTCACAACATGTTTCTGTCCAAAGCTTGGTGGGGTTGGTGTTTCTTTGGACGACGACGGCTCTACCTGTCGTGCAGTGTATACTACGAATATACATTCGTAGTCCTATACAGATGAGCCGTACATTTCTCACGTGTACGTCACTTATTTGTAGTCCGTTGACACTCGTTGCTGTGTTTATCATGCTCGGCACGGAATTGGGGCCCGTGGTGGCACTTGTGGGGGGCGCCATCATGTTTGGATTTGTAACGATGGGGTTTAAGACGGGCGAAAAGGTCGGCCGCCTCCGTGCGGACGTGCTCGCCGTCCAAGCCGACCGCGTCAAACTGACCAATGAAGTGCTCCAGGGCATCCGCGTGGTCAAGTTATACGCGTGGGAAGAGTCGTTGGAAGCGCAGCTGGCGGACATCCGGACGCGGGAGCTCGTGCTACTCAAGAAGTACCAGGCCACTCGCATCTTCAACACCGTGGCGCTGATGTTGGCGCCGCTCGTTTCGCTCGCGGCGTGTCTGATGGTGTACGTGGCACTTGGTAACCCCCTCACGACCCCCGTGGCCTTTACTGCGCTCGCGTACATGAACATTGCGCGCCAGCCATGCACTGTCTTTAGCTCGTCTGTGATGGGGCTCACAGAGGCGCTGGCGTCATGTCGGCGCATCACGACGTTCCTCTTGGCGGACGAAGTGGATCTGCTCGTGTCGGCGACGGTTGGAGGTTCCGACGACGAAGCAGCGCCCGTGGTAGAGATCACAGCCGGGGACTTTAGCTGGTCGGCGGCGAAAAAGCCATCAGACCAAACTCATCTGCATATTGCACTGGACAACGACGGTCCACAGCAGGTCGTCACCCTGTCCAACATCAATTTGCACATTGAACCCAACACGCTGACCATTGTCGTGGGCAGCGTCGGCAGCGGCAAGTCGAGTCTTATCAGCGCCATCCTCGGCGAAATCCACCAAGTCAGCGGCAGCCATAACGTCCAAGCGCACTTTTCCTATGTGAACCAAGAAGCATGGATCCAGCATGCCACGTTGAAGCAAAACATCCTGTTTGACTCGCCCTATGACGACACTTTATACCATCAAGTGCTAGCAGCATGCCAGTTGGAAGCTGACCTGAGCATGCTCCCGCAAGGCGACGCGACCGAGATCGGCGAGCGCGGCATCAACTTGAGCGGCGGCCAGAAGGCCCGCGTGAGTCTGGCGCGGGCTTTGTACCATCAGCGCGCGAACGTCTTCTTATTGGACGACCCATTGAGTGCGCTCGATGTGCACGTGGCCAACGCTGTGTTTGACCAGTGTGTGCAGGGGCTACTGAAAACCAAAACGACCGTTTTAGTGCTCAATAGCCACTACCACTTGTTGCCCAAAGCTGATCGGGTACGATGTTGATTTCGAGGTTGTGGTTGAGAGGGGGGGAGTTGGAGGGGGGAAGGGGTGGAGTGGAATTGTAAGCCGCCTGACCCATGGTTTGATGTTTGTAGGTGATCTTGATGGCTCATGGATCGATTGTGGGGGACAGGACTTATGACCAACTCAAGCATACGTTCCCGCACTTGATGAGTGTGGCGCCAACTGCCAAGGACGACGTCGGAGTACAAGACGCGGCGGCGGCGGGCGTTGCCGACGTTGTCTTGAATGCTGATTCGAAAGAAGGCGCAAAGTCGCGAGGCCAACTGGTCGGACAAGAAGATCGTCAACAAGGCACGGTGTCGGCGTCGACGTACAATCTGTACTTTAGCTCGAGTGGCATGAACGGGTATGTATATATATATACATATATTTATATATATATATATATATATCCACCACAAACCAACCCCTGAAATCACACGATGTATGGTTCAACATAACTCGTAGGGTTGTCGTGGCGGGGCTGATCGTGGTGTTTTACACCGTGTCGCAGATCCTCGTGTCTGCTTTGGACTGGTTTATGAGCTACTGGTCCAACGACCCCGCCCTCAACTCGTCGGTTTCCACTGGCTGGTGGTACATCCTCCTCGCCGTGGTCGCCGTGGCGACGGTCTACGGCCGCTCCCTCCACGTCCTGCTGGTCGCCGTCGCGTGCTCCCGCGCCCTCCACGCCAAGATCTTCCGCGCCGTCGTGTCGGCTCCTGTCCCGACCTTCTTTGACGTGACCCCCGTTGGCCGCATCCTCAATCGATTCTCATCGGATCTGGATCAAATCGACTCGATTTTGCCTTATTTTGGCATGATGGTGCTCCAGTTTCTGTTTCAATTCTTCTCTGTGCTCGTGGTACGTCGTTATCCACGTAATAAACACCTTCATCCCACGCATGATATCGACGACATTGATATATATATATATATCTGTCATGTAAGCTTATCGTTTTCTGGTACACAACCATTGACTATTACATATATATATATATATCTGTCATATAAGCTTATCATTTGCTGGTACACAACCATTCACTATTATATATATATCTGTATTGTTTTGACTTGGCTACATTGCCTTTGACTAATATATATATATATATATATATATGTCTGTATTGTTTTGTTTTGGCTTCATTTACCACTATGTATATATATATATACTAGTACACGAGCGCCATAACACCCTTTTTTTTTTGAGTTATCCTATCGCTTACCAAAGGATATATAAGTTTTTTTTGCATCCTAGTCGATATATCTTGACTTCTAAACTTTGGACACTCTTGTGTAGGTGTGCATGATCACGACGCCGTGGATTCTCGTGTTATATGTGCCGTTGGTGTACTTGTTTTTCAAACTGCAGCGGTATTATAACGCTACATCGTCCGAGCTCAAACGGATGGAGGGAACGTCGCGGTCCCCCGTCGTGACCAAAGTCAGCGAAGCCATCAACGGCCTCTCGACTATCCGGGCTTTTAACCGGACGGATCGATTTTTAGCCAATCAGAGAGTCGCTTTGGATCGCCACGTGAGCTTTTCGTTTGTGCTGAGCGTGAGCAACCGATGGTTCCAGCTGCGGTTGGACTGGGTCGCGTCGCTTCTGATTGTGGGTACGAATACAGTAGTATACGTGTATATATTTACATATATTTGTGCGCATGAATCACGAAATCTATCAATCGATTGTTTGGACTGACCCTTTTGGACGTACAATATGTCGTGCTGTACACTGAATTCGATGGTTGTTGATTGGCCACTGGGATCGTGTTCTGGCTTTTGATTGGTTGATTGTTTGTCGATTTGGTGACGAAGGTCTGGCTGCCACAAAAAAGGTCAGAAATCGCCTCTCTTTGCAACTTTTCAGAAATATTTCGACAATTTTTCAAACGACCCTGTGTTTGGCTACCAAATCTGACATAAAGGGACGTAATACGTCGAATTTTTACTGTTTTCGGACAGAAAAAAGTTTGAACTGCAACTGTCCAATTTTTACATGTTATTCTATCGATAGTTCTGCTTCGATCATGGCATCCAGAGGTCAAATTAATATATTTTCAAATATTTATTTTCTCACCTCCCATGTGAAAATATTTTCTCACCTCCCATTTGAAAAGGGAATTGTTTGTCCAAATACAATGTAATTGACATCAAATTTTCTGTGGCTTCCAGCCCTAAACGATCAATTTTATTCTTTCAACCACGACTTTTATATCATTGAAACGACCACTCTATATCATGGAACATATTTTTTTCCTTTTCTCATGTTGATGTGTGTAGGCGTTGCATTCGTGTCGATTCTGACCAAGTCAACCATCGGCCTCACTGCGGCGGGGCTATCGCTCACGTACTCGTCTCAGCTGTCGTTCTACTTGTCCAAAGTGGCTATTTTCTCCAATATGGTCGAGAATACCATGACCGCCGTCGAGCGCCTCGGTCACTTCAACTCGTTGGAAAGCGAAGACACTGGGCACGACAACACCAAGGGTCTTGCGCCCCCCCCTCCCCCGTCTTCGTGGCCCCAGCAAGGCGAGATTACGTTTACCAACTACTCTATGCGATACCGTGAGCACTTGGAGCTCGTGCTGAACAACGTCAACTTTACCGTCAAAGGCGGCGAGAAGGTCGGCATCGTCGGGCGCACTGGCTCGGGCAAGAGTTCGCTCATGGCGGCGCTGTTCCGCATGGTTCCGTCCGCGACGGGGACCATCACTCTGGACGGGGTACGCCTCTGTTTAGAGGGAATGTAGGTTCTTGACGTGGATGCTCATAGGTGGACATTGCGTCGATTTCGGTGCGCACGCTGCGGTCGCGGCTGACCATCATTCCGCAAGATCCGGTGCTGTTCAGCGGGTCGCTTCGGTTCAATTTGGACCCGTCTCACACGTGCTCGGACGAGGAGCTGTGGACGGCACTCAAGTGCGTGCACTTAGACGCGTTTGTGGGGTCGCTCGAGTTTGCCGTGTCGGAGAAGGGCAGCAATGTGTCGGTGGGCCAGCGCCAGTTGCTGTGCATCGCGCGCGCGTTGCTGCGCAAGTCCAAGGTGGTCGTGCTGGACGAAGCCACGGCCAACATCGACCTGGAAACCGACCGACTGATCCAGCACATGATCCAAGACGGCTTCCACGGTGTCACACGCCTCATCATCGCACATCGCCTCGAAACCATCCTAGACTCGGACCGCATCCTCGTGCTGGACGCCGGCCACGTCGTCGAGTTTGACGCCCCCCCGACGCTGCTCGCCAACCCAGACAGCGCGTTTGCCCACCTTGCGAGCCAAGCCCACGTGCAATTGTAAGAGTTTACATTTCAGAATGTAATAACATTGGGAACTTTGTCGCATTGGGCTTCGTTTTGAGCTAGCTATACACTTAACAACTTAGCGCAACGGAGTATTGCGTCGTCAAGTGTTACGTGTGATTCTAGTCCCTCGTTTCTGAATCATTCCACGTTCTATAAGGTTAGCCAACCCAAATCTCCTACCCTGACATGTGAAATTACTTCATAAACAGTGAAATTAGTTCACAATCAAACAGTGAAATTAGTTCAAACAGTGAAATAAATGAAAACTTTATATTGTGTTCTACTCAAAATTTCCTCTGGCGATTGCCGCCAAACAATCGCCGGACCTTTGAAATTTCAAATAAAACTGAGTTGAAAAGGGATCTTTGAGACTGCAATGGATCAATCAATATTTTTAGCCAATAATAATCCAACCTTCATTCTTTATAGCCAATCATAGTCCTTTGCTCGATTCGTTGGCGATTTCATCAATCCCCCAAAATAGACAAATTTGACTGAAAAGCACAATACTTCACGTATGATACTACACCTTTTTTCTATTGAAACAGACAAATCTTCAATTGATTGGGTCATGCATCCAATGGATTTGCATTTGCGTCCACGTATTTGGTACGCGATCACTGGAATCGGCACATGCAGCTCGTGTGTCAAATGGATTTGGTACATAAACCATTAAACTCGGCATCCACCCAAACAAACAACCGTCCGTCGCTTGGATTTGATGATGAGGGCAATTGAATCGGTAGAATTGATATTTTCAAAAGCAAAACTCAATTAAAAATTACGCAGATATGAAAACCATGAGCTCGCAGAGCAATCACATACCGACTTCCATGTCTTCCATGCGCTCAGCACGGCCATAGAAATACTCCAGTCGTAGAGCATAACGGTTCAATCGTTGAATGTCGATGCCTAATCAATCTGTGAGATATCAAGCTCATCACGATAACATACCTTGAATGACTTCTTGAGCCACGTGCTCGAGGTACTGCATTCGGAATTCTTCTCGGGTGAGTCCATCTGGGGGAGGCCCCATAAAGGCGGCAAGGCGTTCACGCAAATGGGTCTTCACATGCGCCTTGAACTCCGACCACAAGTTTTCGATCGGGTTGAACATGGGGGAGTACGACGACAAACGCAGTAGCGTTGCACTGTCGAACTCCGCCTCTTCAAAAACCTGCTCCAACCTAATCGTTTGTTAGAATCAAATCTATCAACACTCATACCGGGAGTGACAAGGAGCATTGTCTGCAATAACGACAATGTCGTCGAGTCGTCCAAAGTGTTGAGTCGCCGCACGCAACATATCACGCAGCCAAAGGTTGGCGTCTTGGTGCTTGTACGCCCCACGCTTGTGGGTGCAGAAAAAGAAGTTGGCAGACGACATGGCACCGATCACATGGAGATTCTTCCCCTTTTGCGTCCCGCCGCGCACAACGACAGCGCGTGTTCCACGTCGAGAGCGTGCCTTGGTGCGGCAAGTGAACAAGTTGAAGTTGGTTTCGTCAATCCAGATGGGGATCTTTCCTTGACCCATCAGCTCGCGAAACGCCACAACATACTCGACGCGCTTGTCCTTGAACGATGGATCGTTCATCTGGAGTGGCTCGTAGTGCACGGTCTTGTATGTGAAGACGCGCTTGTCCAGTTCGCGATGAAGAGTTGTCTTTGAGACATTGATGCCCAGCTCAAGCATCAAGCGATCTTTCATCTCTTGAAGCGTGATCTGGGCATCGAACTC